GCTTGGGTTCTAAGCTGGTGTGAATAGCAAAGCAGAGGATGTGAACTTATTTGTCTCTCTCCTACCCGTCCCTTTTCCAGTAATTGGAATTGTAGGAAGAAGAGTTTTCAGAAAGTTAGGACTAGGCAGATAGTTGAGTCCTAATCTATGGGTACATCATTGCCTCCCACACCAAACACCTCTTACCCACAGTATCCCTTCTCTCTCTTCTACTTTGCAGTCCCCTTGGACTCAGGGCCACTGTACATAGGCTTTTCTGCTCTCCATCAAAGAACTTCCACTTTCCTCTTGTGGCCCCCCCTCAGTTTTGCCCCCAGTACTCAGCAAGGTTTCTTGCCAGCACATGATTAGTTCTTTTGACTTGTGGGGCTCTCTGCCACAGACAGTACAGCCCTTGCCCAGCCAAACCCCATCATGCTTTTTCTCGGTTCTGTACTCTTGCCACTCGTGGAAGGGAGGTAGCTCAGGGACCACCAATGTGGGACCCTCCTGAGATACCTCCATTCTGATTCAGAAACACACTTCTACCTCTTTACTGTTAACTCCTACAGATGTAGCCAGCAGTTTCTGGGCACTTCTCACGGCGGGTGCCTCATGCTGGCTTCTCCACTAGGGTTTCAGGACAAACTACCAAGGAACTGCCTCAGCCTTCTCCCAGTCCTCCCCCTCTTCTCCCGTCTAGAAACAATTTTGGTCTATCTTCAGAAATTGAGCAGGTCCAAGACCCAGGCTTCTGCTTCAGCCCAGGCCAGTACTCTTTGTTTGAGGTGAAAGCCTTAAAATGTAGCTCCCTAGCCCTAGATTGGAAGCAGTATGGAGTGAATAAGCATGTTTTGGTTTAGGCAGGGTAGCTTGGGATACTTTAAAAAAAAAAACAAAAAAACAAAAAAAAACCCAGATATAAAAATGTCTGGCAAGGTTAGCATCAGACTAGGTGATTTGCTTCTAAAAATTAGTTAATCATTGAGTCCCAGGGACTGATTAAGGTTTATTTTAAAAAGCGTCCACCTTGGTACGCAGCCATCTCCTGCATGCTGTGCATGTTATTGGGACTCGTATTACAGGAAATGGTATGTGAGGATCCAAGGACTCAGAGCTGCCATTCTCCTTGTCTCTGGTCTTCATCACTAGACCCAGCAACCCTTCACCCCCTCCCTGCTACCTTCCCTGCACCCTTCGTTTACAGCAGCAAATGGGTCTCTGGCCACAAAATACAGTCTCAGGCTGTTAGAGGAGACCTCTCCTTTCTGCCTACTCTTTCCTGTCCTTTCCTTGAATCCTCTCCCCCATTAGTGATGCTGGGAAACTAGGACAGGCAAAGCAACTATTTAAAACCTTGTAATTGGAGCCTTGCCCTCTTCCTCCTCCCCTTCTTCCTTCCATCCTGCTCCCTTTCTTCCTTCAATGCCCTGACCACCCACAAGGAATTTCCCTGTCACTGTGAACTTTGCAGGTGAAGAGGAACATCTGCCTTCACCTTCTTTTTTTTTGGACCATAGCTACCCAGCTGTTTCTTAAACCTCCCTTTGCATATACTTTTTTTTAAAAGCCTTAATGGCCTGGTTGTCCAAAGGATAAGAATAGCTTTATCCTACACTCAATACCAAACCCACTTCAGTACCCTTACTGAGGCCATGAGAGCCCGAGGGCCATCTGCCCAGGACAGGAGCCATGGCATGTGGCAGAGACCAAACAGGGACCAGGAAAAGGGGTAATGTCCCCTGTCCCCATTGTTTCCTCTAACTTCCGTCAGGGATGAGCTGCCCTGAATGGGGGCAGGAACCTCCCACCCTGCACAGTAGCTGGACGCTCTGGGGGCCAGAGGATGACATGCTCAGCTCTGTCAGCACAAAGGCTCTGTGCACATCTTAAAGAGGTGAGAGGTAGGGAAAGGAGCACCAATGAGTTTTTCCCCCCAACCTTTTACAAATGGCATTTTGTTAATGGAAATCCGGGAAGCAGGTGTGATTACTTTTTTGCTCGTAGATATTCTAAGTTGAAATTCTCCCACCACCCCAACTTTCCCTTAGTAGCCCTTTAAATCCCCCCTCTCTTCCTTTTGGCAGTTGTTTTTCCCACTCCTCTCCCCACCTCCCCTCTTATCTAGGAGCTGTTTGTAAGCACGATTTTTTTTAACAGTTTATATTGTACAGGATCAATATTTTGCTTTTTAACAAGGATATTTATGTGATAAACTTTGCCTTAGGCAGGTGTTGGCCAGAAAAATCCAGATTCTTCTGGGACCCCACCCTGGCCTCTCCTGGAGCTCTGAACCTGCTGTGGAAGGAATTGGCTGTGACCTTTACCACTGGAGAGTAGGGTGTGTGGCTAGGGAAAAGGGTGTTCTGGTTTTGACAGGAGAAGGATTCACCATGATAACTTAGTGCCTCTATAGAAGGGTTTGGAAGAAGTATTCTAGTCCAGTTTCTTTGGATGTAAGCTGATTTTCTTAGCTGATTCTCCCCCACGTGTACATCTCCACCTCTGAATATTCGGCACTAGAGCTCCTGAAACACCACTTCTCATATGCCTCCCTCCCTCCCAGTGGTCAAGGCTTTGGAGCCACTCTTCCGTAACGCCAGATTATTTAAAGAGAAAAATACAAGACAAAAACCTTCGAGCACTTTGTAAACAGTGAATAACCTCTTGGAGTATTTTTGGCTTTATATAAAACAAGGTTTTTAATTGTAAAATATAAGTGCCATTAGAAAATGCACAGGGCTTATCTTTGTTAAAGTAGATTTTTCAATGTTTTACAGAATTACATTTTCAAAAAAAAGTTTTTATAATGAAGTTGTTTATTAAAAACTTCTGAATGATGTGTTTGGAAGCTGTGAACCTATCTGATTGGGAAAGGGTTGGAGAGAGCCTGGGGAAGAATTGGAACCTCTAAACATCTTTGGCATCCAAAAGGATGGTGAGTGTAGGACAGACAATAACAACTTACACATTGGCACCTAGAAACTTTGCACTTTGAAGTAAAAGATCTTAACAGGATGCCTTTGAGGTAAGTGGCATGATACTACCACTTAATCTTGGATGCAAGGGTCAGGAAAATCAAATTGGCATAACGAAATTTCATGTAACTAAAAATGCCAGATGTAGATTAGGATTGATCCAGCAACTCAAATGGTCTGAGCATTCTGATTTCTCTGGGCCCTATCATGTAGTTGTGACTTCATTCTCTGGGCCTACAAAGTGGTTTTTCCCTTTGTGAGGGAGTAGAATGCTGCTGTGATTTCAAACCTGTCATTCTCAAACAGTGCTGACCAGGAAGAGAAAAGGAACCTTTACAGGCTCTCAGGAGAGAGGAGTCCTTTTAGAAGCCCCAGTAAGCATCTCCTGTCTCACTGGCTTTGATGGGGTTCTGCTATCCCCAAACTAGTCACATTATAAGCCAGTGATGGACAAGGCTGAGATGGGAAAATTGGTTTCTCAGGACATTTTGGGTACTATTAGGAAGAGGAATAGATGCTGATTGTCCAAGAAGAATATCCACTACCCATGATGCACAGGTGGTAAGTGACAGAGCTAGTACCTGACCCTGTCCACGCGTTTGCCTATCCATTAGGTTCAGACAAACTGCTGAGAGGCTGACATGGCTTGGCCAGTCTAATAAAGGTGGTTATCACTATCCTGGGCCCCATTCCTTGTGCTGAGATCCTCCCATCCAGGGCTCAGACTGAGCTTGCTTTTCTGTGATCAGGAGCCAGTGTCCATAGCCAAGCAGTACAACTCAAGTCCAGCCCAGGAGTCCATGGGGCATTAAGAAGTGTTAATGCGTGTAAGAAGTGTTTTGTGTAAAAAGGGCAATGGGCTGGCTCTTCACCTCTTTGGCTTTCCATTTACTTGACAAATGTTCACTGTCCACCTCAGTGGGTCAGGTCTCTGGCTAAGGACCTAAGGAAATCCACTTTGCCTTCGAGGGGGTTTGTGCCCCAGGAAAGGTTTGGGTACTCAGAACTATCTTATCCATTGGGTCAGGGGAGGGGATGGGGATGCTGAAGGCTTTCTGGAGGAGGTGGCAAGAACTTCCAGGCAGAACAGGGACATAGGTATACTGACCTTCACAGGGAGACATGAAGATGTATTTGTAGGATCAGGGCTGCAGGGCTTGGTCCATCCAATCTCTTAACCTATCCAATCACAGACAGACCCTGCACTTAAGACTCAAGTTCACATTTGTAAAATGTCTGGTTCAGGGCCAAGGGGTAGCCCCTTGGGCCTAGGACAAAGTGTCTACCTTTCAGTCTACCATCCCAGAAGGACCCAGCTGGCGTGGGGGAAACTAGGCAGGTGCCCACTTGCTCCCTGGTTGGCAGTATTTGAGAACTTCCCTAGCCCCAGATCCTTTTACTCTGACCTTGTTTCTCCGTTCTTTACGTTATTTTGAGCACCTCTGTGTGCCCCTCAATTACCGTCAACTACGGCTCCCATTTTGAGTCTGGTTAGTCCTTGCAAGGGATACCTTTTGGGCCCCTCTGCATATTCCTGAGCAATTAACCCAGTGCAAAGCCGCAGACGATGGGGTACCGGGAGACTGCCACCTGCCCACCGCAGATGTGGGGAACGGTGATCACTTGGCATGGTAGCTGTGATGGAAGGTTCTGTCTGATCGGGACTTGGGTTTGATCCCTGCTGCCTGCTCCGAGTTGCTCCTTGCTTGGTACACACCTGCACTTCATCACCAGCACCCTACTAATCTGGGGCCAGTTCTGTCTAGCGCCCCGTAGTTGCATCTCCACCGGGAAGCTCCCTGCTCCTCTGCCGGGCTTCCTGGCCCCGAGCCCCCGCAGCTGGGCGACCCTAGCGAATCACATCCGGAATCGGGGGCGCGAGGGGCGGAGCGCGCCACGGAGAAGACGGTACCTCCCCGCCTTCCCGCCCGCGGTCCCGCCGCCGCCGCCGCCAGCCGCCAGCCGCAGAGCCGCCTCTGTCGCGGAACCCGCCGGGTTGCCTGCGTGCCCCGAGCCCCTTCAGGCCAGAGGCTTACGCAGGTGATGGCGGACGAGGGTGCGGGGATCCTGGAAACCGCCGCGCGCCTGCCGCCGGGCCCCCCACAGGAGGGGGCCTTGGGCCCGGCCCCGGCGTCTAGGGCCCGAGAAGCCCGGCAATGCGAGCACCCAAGCCCCGCCGGCTCCGCGACCACCCCGCCAGGCCCTGAGCACTGGGAGGCGGCCTCAGCGATAACTGATCGCAGCCTGGAAAACGGCCTTGTCAGGGGCGACGCCCCAGAAACCTGTGGCGCAGAGGGGTGGGGGCCTCGGGCTGAAGATGGCGGGAAGGCCGAGGAAGTGACGATTGAGGAGGGCGCCATCTTCTTGGAGGAGGCGGATTCGGAGGTACAAAAGCAGCAGGTGGGCGAGGAGATGGAGGTGGCAGAGAAGCTGGTCGGGGAGGAAAAGCTGGAGGTGAGAGCAGAGGCGCAGGAAAGACCGGGGCCCCTAAACCTTGATGGCCCAGTTGTGGACCCACTGGAGGCCATCCAGTGGGAGCTGGAGGCTGTGAGTGCCCAGGCCGACTGGGCCTACCTGCAGCTGGAGCGGAGGTTTGGGCGCATGCGCCGGTTGCACCTAGCCCGTAGGAGCTTCATCATCCAGAATATTCCTGGCTTCTGGGTCACCGCCTTCCTGAACCACCCGCAGCTGTCAGCCATGATCAGCCTCCGAGATGAAGACATGCTCTGCTACCTGATGAACTTGGAGGTGAGGGAGCTCAGGCATGCCAGGACAGGCTGCAAGTTCAAGTTCCGCTTTTGGAGCAACCCCTACTTCCGGAACAAGGTGATCGTGAAGGAGTATGAATGCAGATCCTCAGGCCGGGTAGTGTCAATTGCAACTCGCATCCGATGGCACCGGGGCCAGGAACCTCCTGCTCTGGTACACAGGAACCGGGAGACTGTCCACAGCTTCTTCAGCTGGTTCTCTCAGCACAGCCTTCCAGAGGCTGACAGGGTTGCTCAGATTATTAAAGAGGACCTGTGGCCCAACCCCCTGCAATACTATCTGCTGGGGGATAGGCTCCACAGAGCCAGGCGAGGCCTAGCAAGGTGGCCCACAGAGACCCCTCCTAGGCCCTATGGGTTCCAGTCTGGCTAAGTCCTGCCCCAGGACCTGGCCCCTACATACATAAGGCTTCCTTCTGCCTCCTGTGGACCTCTGCTTAGTCCAACAGTGACACTCTGCCATCTGTGTTCTCCTCCATGCACTCTGACCTCTGGACATTCAGTGGACTCAGCTCTAAGACTGTGGCCTTCATGCATCATGGTCCTCACATGCCACAGTGTCTATCCAAAGCACCCAATGCTGTAGATGTGTACTGCCATCATCTTCATGGCCTATCCTTTGATCATGGCCTTCCCACCCATTTCTGAGATGGGCACCCACAAGTCATCACTAGGAGGAGCAGTACCTCTTCAAGGCCACAACATGCTCAGCTTCATCTTTATGCTGGCCCTGCACATTGGCTGTTGCAAGCTAAGTCTTATTACCCACAATGAACTGGGTACATTGTGCTGGCTGTACCACCCTTGGACATCCTAGGGCTTCAGAGCTTCAGGATCACAGGCCAGGCTACCCCAGACTGTTGGATTGTTGAGCATCTGGCAGAATGTTGGGCATGGGTGAGGTCAAGGACATGAAGCAGTGGTCAATACATTCTTTGTGATCACACTCCTCTTACCTGTATTAGCCTGCTTATGAAGTTCTGTGCTGTACCTTACCAGTGTCTGGCCATCACCCATCTCATGAGTTTTGCCCAGGTTGCCACTAACCATTTTGCCTGCTCCCAGGTCTATAAGGACCTCAAGAACTGCCTGTGGACCCAGGTGGGCTCCCTGCAAATGCACAGGAGATTCTCCTAACCCCCAGGAACTTTGCTATGTTGGCATATCTGAGCACGTGCTCAAGGCAGGGCCAATGACTGGGTCTCTTCCAGAAGCCTACCTTCCTGAGCCCCAGTCACTGAACTCCCACAGAATCCAGCTTCCCCTGCCTCTACTTGTTTTTAGGCTGCCAGGTTGGGGATCCTGGGGATGTTTCTGGTCATGGGGCCTGTACCTGCCCAGAGCTCACATCTTTTTATATACTTTAAAGTGACAGCTCAGAAACAAACTGAAGAAGCAAGGTTTCTTTATAAACAGCTGAGGAGACAGTCTTTCTTGTTTAATTTGCTTCTCTTTGATTGTCTCCAGAGAGGGAGGATTGGCTCATAAACTGCTAGTGCTCTCTTTGTCCCTCTTCCTCAAGGTCTAGAATCTTCAAAGGGGAACAGTGCGGCTGAACAGAGACACGGAGGTCTGGGCCCTTGGAGGTAGGGATGGTTCATTGTTTTGTTTATGCTGTGTTCTTTTAGTTTTTAAATTTTTTTTTAATCCTCACCTGAGGACATTTTTTTCCCATTCTTTGTTCAGACAGAGTGGGAGGGAGAGAGCGGAAGAGAGAGAGAAAGAGAAACATCGACATGAAAGGGACACATCGAGTGGCTGCCACTCGCATGACCAACCAGGGCCGGGGACACACTGCAACCGAGGTACGCATCCTTAGCGGGAACCGAACCCAGGTCTCTCTGGACTGCAGGCCGACGCTCTAACCGCTGAGCCAAACTGGCCAGGGCTAGTTTTTACATTTTTATTGCTTTTCTAGAGGGGGAGAGATAGAAACATTAATGTGAGAGAGAAACATCTATCGGTGCCTCCTGCATGCCTCCTACTGGGGATCAAGCCTGCAACTCCAGTCACGTACCCTGACCAGGAATTGAACCAGGACCTCTCAGTCCATGGGTCGACATTCAATCCACTGATCCACACCAGCTGGGCATATGCTGTGTTTTTTTAGACTTAACTTGAGCCCAACTCTTCCACCAGGTCCAATCCCCCTTGTGGGATCCTGTACATACAAGAGCTTAGCTGCCTCTTTGCCCCGAGTTCCTCTTCTCAGGCTTTTGTGGCTGTTCCATCTTATTTTGAGGGTGACAATACCCAGGCCCCTTCCCATGGAAGGCCTTGTCTTCTGCTCCTCAGGACTTGGGGAGGCTTTGACGCAAAATAATGGGAGGGGGGATTGCTTTTGGTAGGGGAGTGCAACAAGCTAGAGCCAGCTGGAAAGGCAGGGACGCCTGAGAACCAGTGGAGTGGAAGAGAGCCCCATGACTCTTCCTAACTTCTGATTCACCAATATATTTTTTATTTTTATTTTTTTAATCCTCACCTGAGGATATTTTTCTATTTATCTTCATATATAGTGGGAGGGAGAGAAAGGGAGAGAGAAACATTGACATGAGAGGGACACATCAACCGGTTGCCTCCACCGCACAACCCCGACCAGGGCTGGGGATGAACTGCAACCGAGGTACATGCCCTTGGCTGGAATTGAACCCACAGCTCATTGGTCCACGGGCCGACACTCTACTGCTGAGCTAAACTGGCCAGGGCCACCAATATGTTGCTGCTTTTTTTATCCTCACCTGAGGACATTTTTGCATTTGTCTTTAGATAGAGCGGGAGGGAGAGAGAGAGAGAAACATCGATGGGAGAGAGACACATCAAGTGGTTGCCACCCACATGACCCTAACTGGGGCCGGGGACAAACTGCAACCGAGGTACACAGGAACTGAACCCAGGACTCTGGTCTGCATGCCGATGCTCTTACTGCTGAGCCAGAACAGTCAGGGCCCAGTATGTTTTTTAAATTAGAAGAACTATTGCCCTGGCCAGTTTGGCTCAGCGGTTAGAACATCGGCCTGCGGTCCGGAGAGACCCGGGTTCGGTTCCCGCTAAGGGCACGTACTTCGGTTGCAGTTTGTCCCCGGCCCTGGTTGGTCGTGCGGGTGGCAGCCACTCGATGTGTCCCTTCATGTCGATGTTTCTCTCTCTCCCTTCCTCTCTCTCCCTCACCTTCTATCTGTACAAAAAATGGAAAAATATCCTCTGGTGAGGATAAAAAAAATAATAATAAATTAGAAGAACTATTAACAGAACACTGCAACTTTAGAGGTTCTCTGGGTCCAGGTAAAACCTTGTGTTTGAAGAAAGCCAATTCTTTGTTTTTCATTTTACTGCTTTTAAGTTAAGACCCTAGGCATCTGCCCCTTCTCCATTTCCACCCACTGGGGAAATTGAGTTGTTGAGGCCTGCTTGTTTTTAGTTGAGAACATTTACAAGGATGTCACTGTAATTTTTTTTTTATGCCATTTGGGAACTTATGTGGGTATTCATGATTGTTATCAAATTGTTGTGTCCTGTTAATATGATTGTACTTAGAAGTAGTTTGAATATGGTGGTTTTGTAGGACTTCAGAATGGAAATTGTTACTGTGTTCTGTGAGGATAACCTCCAAAAAGAAATCTGTAACTCTGATAGTTTTGAGCCTCAGTGGCCATGTTGTCATCGACATCACTGTAATTGATACCTCTTCTTCTAAACAAATATTCGTGAGGTGGCTTTGTCCAATCAGAATAGGATACATGGCACTTTCGTCTTTATGCATGATGAGAAAATAAAAACCGTTCAGTCTGGGGAAAAAAAATAACTCAGATCATGTTATTGCCCCATCCAAAATCCTCCATTGGCAGAAAAAAAATACCCTAATTCCTTATTGTTAGCTGGTCCCTGCCAACATCTTCCATCAATTGCCTCTGCGCTCCCCCAACACTCGCCTTTCTGCTCCTTAAATACACTAAGCATGATCCAACCTCAGGGTTTTTGCACTTTCTTTTCTCTCTGGAATTTTCTGTCTGCAGATGTTCTCATCTCTAGGTCCCTTAATTCTTTCTGGCATCACACACTTTTTTTTTAATCTTCACCCGAGGACATTTTTTCCATTTTTTGTTCAGATAGAGTGGGAGGGAGAGCAAGGAAGAGAGAGAGAAGCATCGATGTGAAAGGGACACATCAAGTGGTTGCCACCCGCACGACCAACCAGGGCCAGGGACAAACTGCAACCAAGGTACGTGCCCTTAGTGGGAACCAAACCCCTGTCACTCTGGACCGCAGGCTGACGCTCTAACCGCTGAGCTAAACTGTAAAACACTTCTTTAGAGGCTTTACCTGCCAGGCTGTCTGAAGTCATCCTCTACCCCCTTCTCATCTCTTCTTCCCTTCCCTATCCGTCTGCTGCTTTGCCCACATGCATGCCAGAAATTACTGTGTGAGTGGATGACTATTCAGATGTGTCAGAATTTTGTCCTGGGCTCTGACAATGTGGGTTCCTACCCAAGGATTTCAGTTGGGCAGAGAAAAGTGGGGCAATGAAGGGTGACCTAGCTGTAATATATCTGGGAGTGAAAGGAACAGTACTAATAATTACATTGGGACAAGAGGCCTAACTGGCACATAAAGGTCACCCCAAAGAGACAGAACCCAGCTAAGTTCAGCTTGGCATACAGCTCATCCCAACTGTGTGTGGTATGTTGAGACGTCTCTGAAGTTGGAAGCTAAAGCTGGGCTTTGAAGAATGAGCAGTAGTTAGAAAGGGGGGCTGAAGAAGGGAATTCCTGACTAAACAGCATGACCAAAGGCACTGAGATAGAAAAATGCATTATGTGTTCAGGGCACAGGATGTGCCCTGGGTGTGGCTGTTTGGGAAAGGCAAGTCTAGGGTAGGTTAAGGCCATTTTCTGGAAATAGAAACTGAATGCAAAAACTAAGGTATTATCACCTGGGTAGTGGGGAGGATCAGATGTTTAGAGGTGGGAGAACTCACAGGACAGCTGGAGGCAGGAAGAGAAGATAACCAGCTCCATAGTTAGAATCATCCATCTTCCAGGAAGCCCTCCATGACTGCCCTACCCCACACACTCTGCCACCTCCCAAGTACAGCCTAGAATGTGACTTCTGGACACCAGTGCCTGGGCAGGCTACACCCTCTAGGTTTTTCTTGTGCTAAGCACCTGTCCTTGATGCTCCCAGGAAAATCAGGGTAAGCCTCAAAGCATCCTGGCGATCCTGGAAACTGGTTCCCCACATGTTTTGCCTGGCCTGTACCTACCTGGTGGTTGGCAGGTGCACTTTGGCTCCTGCAGCCCAATTTAGGCCAAACTGCATCCTGCATGTCCTAGGCCCAAGACAACGGTGCTTACCTGATCTTTCTCCTGCATGACCAGTGACATGCTGCCTTCCCACTGAGACTGACCTCAGCAAAGGAATGTCCCAGGTGTGCTTCTGGAGCATGAGTCTCATCCTCAGAACCCACTCCTGCTTGCTCACTCATTCAGGTCCTGAGTCATTCATTTGTTTATCTACACATTTTAGTACCTCCTTGTACTGGGCACTGGGGGCAAAAGATGACTCTATCACCTGACATTATATTGTTTGTTTGTTCGTTTGTTTGTTTATTTATTTATCTGCCCTTTTCTCTACACTTTTGGGGACTTTGTTTTATTCACTCCCTCACCTAGAATACTGCCCAGCACCGGGGGGGGGGGGGTTGGGTTGGGGCTCAGAAACTCTGGAATGAATTAATGCATGCTTCACATCCTTGAGGTTCAGGAAGGTCTTCCTGGTGAGCAAGAAGACTCTCCCTAGAGATAGGAACTCTGTATGACCCAAGGTAACTCTTTTCCAGGCAGTGTCTGGAGCTGAAGCAATGTCTGGGCCCATTCCCAGTCCCTTCTATGGAGAGATGGCCACTTGGCTTACACGTGCTCCCAGGATGGTGAGGAGGGGCTTCCTGCTCAGGTGTGGAGAGCAAACACAAGCCTCTGATGCTAGGGCTTTGCTCACCTCTGCTCTAGAGGTCTGCCCTGTTCTGTTGGCCTCGAAAGGACCTTTGGACAAGTTCTATTGAGTCAGAAAAATCTGTCCAGAAACTATGATTGCAACTAATTGTTACCTGTAATTGCTGATTACAGCTTGGGGGGCTCTGATATTTTCCTCCATGTACATTTCAACACAAAAATTAAAGGAAGTCTCTGGTATCTGCTTGCCCTTGCTCAGCAGGAGAACTAAACAATGACTTGGGTCGGTGAACTTTGAGGCCCACAGCATCAGAGCTGACTCAGGATCTCAAGGGCACAGGGCTGTGGCGGAGCAGGCACCAGCTGCAAAGCTGATGGGAACGTGTGCTCTATTGTGTGGCCTTGGACATGTCTTTTGACAGCTCTCAGCCCATTTCTCCTCTAAAGGAGAACTTGGAATTCCTTAGTAGGAAAAAAAAACACCTCCTTTAACCTGTTAACCGAGTGGGACGTATACATATGTCAAACGTTGCATACAGTGAAAAGGGAATTACCCGGTTAACAGGTTAAGATGCCTTCCCCTCCACATAAGACCTCTGGCCCTCCAAGTGGCTGGCTCAGCAACAATACTTTTGGCTGCATCTAACAGAAAGTTTGACTTTGACTTAAACAAGAGACTTTTGTTTTATGTGAGATGGGTTTGAG